GGGGGCCCGTGGGGCGACGTTGCGAGGATGCCTCGAGCGGAGCGACAGATGGGGACACGCCCGGCGCAGCGCCAGAAATGGTCCCTGGGGGTGCGCTGGGGGCCCGTGGGGCGATGTTGCGAGGATGTCTCGAGCGAGAGCGCCGGATGGGGACGCGCCTGGCGTCGTGCGCTGGGGGTCAGGATGACGTGAGTTCCATAGACAATCTTTCAAATGATCTGTAAGTGATCCACGAGAATGATTGTAAATGCCTGCCACCTTGTACACTCAAGGCACTTCTTTCGGGATCGCATCTGGTGGATGGCCGCAGCCCTTGTCGACGCTGGTGCCCGCTGGGCGGCAGCGGTCGGCAGCCAGGCGCTGGGGACCTGGCTCGGTGGCAGCCACAGCGCGGTTTGCGACTGCAGCTGCCACTTCGACGCCTCGCCCGACGAGGCTTTGATCGGGCTGCTGAAGGGCCAGCTCGACAGGTGTGGCCCCGAGCACCTCCACGGACATCCGACGGTGGTCGCGTCCTGCCCGCCGGTGGGCCACACCCGGCTGGAGCCAGTCCTGGCCCTGGCGCTCGGCCTGGTGATTGGCCTCTGCGCGCGGGACGCCGTGTGCTTCTGCCTCCGTCGGGCATCGCTGACACGCGCCGAGGTGACGGATGGCAGCAGCACGGACGGCGAAGGCTTTAGCAAACCTGCGGGTGGGGGCCCGAGTGCTCGTCTTCTACGAGCGAGAGGACAACTGCTGGCATGAACGTGTTTTGCTGGGACGAATCACCAGCAGCAGGTGGGTGGTGGCCACCCCCCACTTCGACATCTATGAAGAAGACCTCTCAGACGCGCTGCAGCTCTGCCTGGTCGGCCCGGTGGGAGGCCTGCCCACGAAGTTGCCCGGGCACCTTCTTAGGACGGGCATGGATCGCTTCGCTCGCAACGAGAAGCAACTGCTCGAGGAGGACCAGCTGCTGGCCGCCGAGGTGCGGCGCGAGGAAGGCCTTGCCGACGAGGAGGCTGGACTCCCCGCGCTCCCTGCACCGCCTGACGACGCGCATGCTGCCAAGGGTCTCACCGATCGTGCTAGCGCTGGTGATGCTGTGCGCTGGGTGGTCCTGGAGGCTAGAGCAGGTTACCACCATGGCGGCGAGCTGTTTGCTGGGACCGTCCCCAGCCGCATCGCGGGCGACCGTGGGATTGTCGAGCTTGCGGACGGCACCATGCTGGCGGTCGCGAAGGCGGGGGCCCATGGCGGCGCAGCCACTCCGCGCGACGGCGACAGGGCTGGCGAGCGGGACCTGCGCACCCTCCCCGTCAGGTACGACCAGGCGGCTCGAGGGTCAGAGACTTCTCGGAGACAGTCGACATTATGTCCACCAGCGCGATGGGCGACTGGCCAGTGCTGGGACCACGTGCGACTCTCTGTCTGCTGCAGCAGTTCAAGCGGCTTGGCTAGACGCCGCTTCAGCGTCACATGTGGTGGAGGCAGATCCAGAACCTCACTGCAGCCGACGCTGGAGTCGACGAACATCAGTTTCTCCGAGCTCCTGGAGATGGGCGCGGCCAAGGATCAGCTCAACGAAGGGGGGCTGGGGATCTTCGAGGCCGTTTCGCGGAGGTATCAGCTGTGGGGAGAAGTGTGCGCCAATCGTCTTCGCGAACAAGAGGCTGGGTCGCTCCGCAGCTCAGGGGGCTCAGCTTGGCTCGACGAACGTGAGAGATTCCTCGGGCAAGAGCGTGGGCGCGGAAGCGCATTGGTTTCACCAGAACTGCAGACTTGGGTGGCAGGCCGTCTTCAGTCCGAGGCCGCAGTGCTCAAAGAGCGTCGTAAAGGTCGCGAAGAGAAGATTCTTGCTCGTGGGGGGGTCGCTGACGATGCGCCTGCACCGGGGCCCAAGGCGAAAGCCAAGGGGGAGGCGGGTGCAGAGGGGGCAACTTAGCCCCGTCCTGACGTCGAAGTTCCTTGGTCGCCAGCCTGCCCCCGAGCCAGCGATTATTTTCAAGGGGGGGTGCATGCTCGCCCGCGCTATGTTCTGTGACGACGGCGTTGGCGGTCGCCATCGTGATATGCTGCCTATTCCGCTTGGTCCAGAACTGATGTCTCTTCTTAGTGGTGATGCTGCATGGGGTGCGTCGCCGTCGGCGAGGCGGAGAGCTGCGACCAGACGGCGTCAGGGCCAGTGGCTGATCGAGGGAATCGCCCCCCTCAACGAGCTGGGCGGCCAGGGGCGCCATGTGCTTGTTTCCGCGCCGCTGGCAGCGGCTCAGCACGCCGCTGTCAGGCGGCTGGCTGCTACCTGCGGCAAGTGGCCACCGCCCGCTGATCGCCCTAGTCCCCATGAAGCGTGGGGGATGCTTCAGGGTCTCAGGTCTGGCTATGCTGAAGTCGTGGCCTCAGGTTCACGAACAGTCTACCAGCGTGGGAACATCTCGCCCCCTAAGATTGGCGCAGGCAGGGTTGACCTACTTGATGTCCTACCTGCTGATCTTCAAGGCAAGCTGGAGTCAGGGCGCGGGCTGTTGCGATCCACCTCGGAGGCGGCAGCGCTAATTCGCGATGCAGGTGCTCCTCGTGCTATGGGCCCGAAGCTCGGTCGGCCTCGCTTCGACTACGGCCGCGCTCTCGGGGAGCTCTTCGCCTCCGGAGTTTTCGGGGCTAGTTCGGAGCCAGTTTTGGAGGAAGCTGGCATGTTTCTGTGTTGCTCGCAAAGACAAGCGGTTGCGTCTCATCTGCGATGCCAGGACGCCGAGCATGCACTTCACTGCCCCTGAGCATGCAGCTCTTGCGACGGGCGAGGCGTTATCTTCGCTGGAGGCGTCGGGGATCAATGTGATTGGGATGAGTTCTGGAGACATTGACTGCTGCTTTTATCAATGCTCGTTGCCGCCTTGGTGCAGGCGCTATTTCAACTTGCCTCAGATCGACAGTCGCTAACTGCCAGCTGACATCAGGAGTGCTTGTGGTCTTTCTCTGAAGAGTGGCCAGGTCCGCTTCCGCTTCAAGGTAGCGCCAGCGGGGTGGAGCTGGGCAGTGCACTTTATTCAAGAAGCTCACCTTCACATGGTCAGGCCAGTTTTGCCGTCGCAGCCCTGGTGTCTCGACCAGTGTCCGGGGATTGACGGAAGTGCGGAGGGCGCCGAGGTTCTGTATGTCGACAATTTGCAGTCCTCTCAGCGTCATCGGAGCGCGCAGCTGCAGCTGTGGCCGGCATGCAGGCATCCCTGGCTTCCAAGGGCGTGGTGTCGGAGCTCGATGCCGCGGTCGAGGAGCGCGGGGAGCTGCTGGGTTGCGAGCTGGACCTGCGCTCGGGCAGCTGGCAGGTGCTGGGCCGTCGGCTCCGGCGGATCTACGGCGCCTTAGAGCGCGTGCTGGCCCAGCCAGCTCGCGTGACAGGGCAGGAGATCGAGCGCCCCATCGGCCACTTGGTGTCGCTCCTCCGTCGCGAGGGACTGGCCATGCTGCGCGCGTCCTACGAGTTCGCCAGGGAGTCCTACGCCAAGCGGCAGCCGTTGTGGAAGAGCGTGGTGCGGGAGATGCGCTGGGTGAAGGCCCTGGTGCCGTGTCCTGCCTTGCTTTCCGTGACCTGGTACTTCTGCTTGAAGTTCAGAAGGTAATCCTGTAGAGGGGCCGAGCCGCGGCGAGTGTCCCAGAACTTGTCCAAGAGCTGGCCCTGTCGGTCCCGGTCGTGAGTCTTCGAGGCCTCCGTGACCTTGGCGATGAGGTGAACGATGCCCGCTGGACTGGCCGTCGCCAGCTCTTCTCCGGTGTCAGGGTCCAGCACTGCCTCCTCTTCCGGGAGAGCGAGATCAGCGTCGCCCGTGATGTCCACGCCGATCCGAGTCACCTTCATATTCAAGGCCACCTCGATCGCCTTCTCAAGAACCCAGCTCGCAACAAGCGGGCTGGCCTTCTCCGCTATGATGGGGGTGATACGCCACCAGAGGTGGCGCTCGAGGACATTCTTGAACGTGTAGTCTGGTAGTTCTGGCTCCAGCCAGGAGGTACATGTATGGAGAATTCTGGAAGGTTATTCGGGAGCTTCCAGTCTGCACTGCCACCCGCCATGGTCTTGTAGTCCCTGTGGTAGTTGTCGAGACAGACGCCACCGGTGTCGACGAATATATTGTTGAGAAACGACAAGGGCATGACATTCGAGTTGATCTTGTTGAAGATCGGCAGCGGGCCGTACTTCAGCCCGCTGTGTGCGTGTTCTTCGCCGAGACAAAGGAGCGCGCCTGGCGGCGCACGGTGGACCCGACTATCGCGCGCTCGTGGTCGGTCCGAGGCGGGGGCAGGCTGGAGCCTGGAGCTGAGCTCCAGCCCCACTACCAAGCTCAGATGTTTAGTTTGTTGAGTGCAAGCCCTGAGACTTGATGCGTACGGAACAGATACTGCACTTGATCATTCACTGATCTCACTGCATGTCCAATATGCTCTACTTGTCTGCTGATATACTCAGTGGAGGGAGGAGGGGAGGGAGGGAGGGAGGAAGGGAGGGAGGGAGGGAGGAGGTGGAGGAGGAGTAGGAGAAAGAGGAGCAGGAGGAGAGGAGGGGGAAAAGGAGGAGGGACGATAATGACGATGAAGGCTATGGGGATGGAGAGGGGAGGAATGGGTAAGAGGGGGAGTGGGGAAGAGGGCGAGCGGGAAGAGGGGAAGAAGGCGTGTGGGGCAGGGGCCCGCGGGGGAGGAGGAGAAAGGATGTGAGCGAAGGGCGCCCTGGCCTTTGCCTACGGTCCCTGGGTGAACTCTGGAGCCTGGTCGACCTGGGGGCCCCTGCCGTGGACGCCGTCATCGTGCTGCCCCGCGCCCCACGCCCGCGCGGCATCGCCGCCATCGCCCACTGTGCCGCCCGCCGTCGGAGTCGTCCCCCGTCCCCGCCGCCGCCGCCGCGCGCCTTCGCCTGCTGCCGCCGCGCGTCCGTGGCCGCGCCGCGCAGTCGCCGCCGAACGCCGATGCTGTTGCCGCGTCCTCGTCCGCCGCCGTGGCCGCCTGCGGTGCCGACGCCGTGCCAGGCCCCCCGTGGCGCCCGACGGGCCTTGTGCTGCCAGAGATCCTCGGCCGCGCGGCTGGCCGCGCGGGACTGCGCCGGTGTCCGCCGTGCCAGTCCTTTGCCTCCGCCCCGTCTGCCTCCACCTCCGCCTCCTGCTCGGCCCCTCCGCTCCGCCTGCTCAGCGCGCCCCCTGATTCCCGATTCCTGATAGCGTTAAAAGTCTCCGACTGCCGCCTTTAGCGCGCCCCCTCCTCCTTCTCCTCCTCCTCTTCTTCTTCTTCTTCCTCCCCCTCCATCTCCTCCTTCCTCCTCCTTCCTCCTCCTGTCTGGGGTCCCGCGGCTTGGCACGCTCCTGGGTTCTGAGGACGGGAACCTCGCCGACTTTGGCGGGCGAGACGCCGGGGGCGCTGAGCTGACTCGCGCCCCTTCTGCCTGCGCCTACCCTCCTCCTCCATTCTTCTGCTGCTTGACGATGGCGGCGTTGGTTTCGACTCGCCGTGGTCGGCTTCCCATCGGAGCCACTAGCGACGGCCGGACAATAATCCATTCGGTATAATCCTCTTCCGGCCCCCCGTCCCCGATGCGGTGCCACTGCGAACCGAAAACTGTGCCCTCCGTTTCACCCGAAAGGTGGTATTATGGATTTTGCGTTTATGTCATCTGGATCCAGCGTGCTATTACAAAAGTGGTTGCCTGGTTCACCGAACCTGCCTCGATGAAGCGTCCGATCTTCCAAGCTCGATCGAGGATCGCCCTGTCTTCCGCCTTCCCATCCTTCCCCTTCCTGGCCTACGTGGAGTCGAGGTAAACAAGCAATCCTACTTTAAGGGTAGCTCTTTGGGGGCTGATATATATATATATATATATATATATATATAATATATATATATATATATATATATATATATGCGGGAGTATATATTGCGCGTCGTTGCCTTACGGCTCAAGCCACGCGCGCCCTATTTGCCCTGATACCTGACGTGGTATTCGCCATGTGCTGGAAAAGCCGATACATCGATCTTCTCTTATCTTACCCATCCGCATCCCCATATCGTATTCCTCGACATGGAATTGGATGCAGTGTGACCTACCAGGCTCATTTTAGACTTGGTAGCGGAGCTGGCCGCACTCTCGTGTGGTCAGCTCTTGTTCTTTTCACTCTTATGCTACGGGGCACGATCCTCGTGACCACCTTCTACCCTGCGCCACTACTCCACCAACATCTACGAGGACCAACCCAAGAGCAAGAAACAACACGAGAGGTACGACGTCTAGATAACAACATTGGTACCATATACTTTTCATCACTACGCTATCACCGACCGCTCGGCAACGAGCCGAAAGCGCAGTACCTGAAGCTCAAGCGGGGAGACCCGCAAGATAAAACGCCTCGCAGACTTGACAAGGCGCAACCATACACGCCCCAGCGCGGCAACGCGCCCGATAACCACCCATACCTCCACAGCCTGGGTTTGGTTATCTTCGCCATTATATGGTTCGCGCTGGGCGCGGCAATCGGACACATGCGCCGAGGAGACAACGGAACCGATGGGCAAACACATGGCCCCTTCTGGGACCCGCAAGGCAACGCACCCTTTCGCGAGTACGTCTACGAGGTCAACGCGTGGCTTAACGTCACGAGCGGGCGCATGACGCCACAAGCCCAAGCAGCCGCCATCAAACGCGGCCTGGGCGGCCTCGCGAGGACACTCGCCATGAGGTTTCCGCCTGACATCATAAACTATGGTGCGGACATCGACGGTGTCCACACCGACCCAGTAACATAGTTATATCATGCTCCTCCTAAGCATGAAGTTCGAGCGCCTGGAGGATGAACGCCAACTCACCTCAGGCACTCAGCTCATCGACTTCCACGTGCCTCACGGAGAGCGAATCGACGTAACCCTCGCGCGGTTCGAAATGGCCCGTCTTGAGGCACAATCGGTGGGCTTTGACCTTCCCAACTTTCAACCACTTACGACTATCCTATTCCGCGCCTTAGGCGTCGGCAGCCAGCGAGCCGTGCAACTCTTACAACCACTGAACCATCAAATGCCCCGAACACAACAACAATATGAATATCTGTGTGAGAGGATGCGCTCGGTTGGCCATGTGGCCGACCGGTCTCCTGGGAATATAGGATCAGTATTTGGAAGGGGAAGGGGATTTGGCAGTGGAAATTTCTATACTACCTTAACCTCTGATGCTCAGCCTGGAAACGGGCCCACAAACATATGGGCCGACGATCCTGGTGAATCTACTGCACTAGTAGCAGGGGATAGATCACAACCTAGCTGGGCAACCAGCCCTCCTCCTAGAGAACCTCAGCCTCACCGCTCTCTATGGGGGGAAGCGAACCCACTGAGCGACGGAGTATCCACCTACTTAGGAAACGATGACTTTGACTCAGGCACTGACACCGACGCGGTATCGTCAGATGGCGTCGAACCGCTAGATTGGTCAGATATCATGCAAATTCAAAGTGATGATCAGCGTGCCGAGCATCTGTTTTGGTTATTACAGCTTTCAAAGCGTAGGTGGAGGAGGTTTACACGAAAACCAGTGCGTCGCGTTAGGAGGGGGATCAGGAGGAGCTTCAAAGGCAAAAGGCAAGGGCAAACGGGGTCGCCGAAGGTTGAACGGACGGGGCATCACAACTTTCCTCCAGAGGCTCTCAGACGATCAGTATGATGAGATATTCTCCGGGGGAAAGGGTCGTGGAAAAGGCCGCAGGGAAACCCCGGGCAAAGGCAGAAGTAGGCGGGGGAACCCGCGAGGTAGAGACGGCCAAACCTTGAAGTGCCATGAGTGTGATAGCCCAGATCATCTTGTGGAGGATTGTCCAGTGAGAGGGAACGGAAAGGGTAGAACGTCCGAAGTCCATTTGGGCTCAAGTGAACCTGCTATTGAGTATCTCACTCTCCAGCAGTTCGAGGCTTTGGAACAGATCTTCTTCGCGTGGGCCAGCAACGTGGACGCGCTGGACGAGATCGAGGCGTGCGGCCGCGGGTTCTGCGCCTTTTACCTCGAGTACCCCCGCCGGTACTGCCGAGCCACCGAGCTCGCGCCTGTTGAGGGCGGGGCGCTGGGGAACCAGCCCCTGTCGTTCCTTGACTGGATGTTCGGCAATCCAGGCAACATCATGGCCTTCGAGAGCAGCGACGAGGACCAGATGGAGGCCGACGCAGTCGAAACCACCCCCTCGGAGGTCGAGTATAACCTTCGGCATCAGTCCGACCCCTTGCCCGGAAACGGGCCTGCTCCAGTGTGCCAGCCACGCTGCCGTGAGTCGATGGAAACGGAGGCCCAGGCTTTCGCCGCGGGCGTGCCGAGCAAACCCCATGAGCCACCTGGTATGCTCGCGCCGGGTGTGTACGAAGGGCCATGCGCGGCGTTGCGGAGCCTCATGCAGATGCATGCCGCTCAAGCTGAAGAGTATCCAGACAGTCAGCAAAACGTCGAAAGCGGCCAAATGATGGTGCAGGACTCAGACATTTGTGACGACGCGGACTTGCTGACGGTTGCTTTCTCTCTCATCGACAGTGTGCTCCCCGACGACGTGCAGCGGCACCTGTGGCGCGCAAAGGAGCGCTGGCGCCAAGCCCTTCAGCGGGCCATCACCACGCGCGAACAGGCGCCTCCTCCGCCTGGATGGGGTCTCCAGGCGGCGGGGTATCACCCCGACCATGCGGCTGTGCGCAACATCATCGGGCAGCCCTCCTACGACTATGCTCGGCTCGAGACGCGCGCCGAGCTCGGTGACGAGCCTGGTCCGACCATCATGCCACCGACGCCGGGGCGCCCCAGCGGTGTACGGGCGCCACCGCAGCAGGGGGACCTGCCTGTCCCGAATGGGCCAATGACTCTTATCATTGGCAATCCGACCTCAGAAGCCGAAGACGGGGACGGCTGTGGACTGTGCGAGGACGAGACCACCATCTTCATGACGAACATCGACGGCGAGGGCGAGGAGGTGGACTTCGACGGAGACGAGACCTACGCACAACCACCCGCACACGACCTCGTCATGACTGACCCTTACTAGCAGGGGGACCTGCCTGCCCAGGATGTGCCGCCCACTCCTGCCCAGGGCACGACGCCAACTCCTGCCCAGGCCATGTCGGCGACATCATCTGCAGACGACCGGGCCAGGAGGTCTCGCTCGCACGCGCGCCCCAGAGACGATCGACGCCCCCAAGGACGACTCCCGCGTGAATATCGGCAGGCAGCTCCATCAGAGCACGCTGCCCGACGCGGGGGTCAGCTGCTTGCCTGCGGCGGTCCCAGGCGCAGAACGGGCGAACACTCTGCCTATGGGCAGGGCAATCCGATCTACAGGGGCGCCCAGGGCAGGTCTATACTGGGCGGATACCAGGTCGCTACGAACACCTGATGAAGAGGCAGTGCGGAGAGAGCTGGGGGCCGTCATCGAGGAGCGCCGCCGCTGCAGGCCTAACGCTGCCTGTGGCCCGTGCTCTCAGGATTTCCAGGAACACCGACCTGGCTGTCCTGTCGGCCTCGGCGACGTCCTGAGCCCTAACAGAGGCCGTGCTCCTGCAAAGGAGGGTCATCCACCTCCTGTGCCCATGACTCAGGAGGAGATCAACGTGGTCAACAGTCGTCTCGAGGTCAGGCGCCTCGACGATCTTCCTTCCCAGAGGACTCGCTCGCCGCGGGGGGGCCCGCCTGGCGTATCCAGCCAGGCCCGCACTTGCGAAATGGCGAGCGACGACGAACTGGAGGTCCAACGACCCGCAGCAGAGGCAGAACGCAGGCGGTTGGCGGAAGAACGCAGCCGCGAGGCAACTCGCCGAATGCTGCAAGAGTCGCAAGCCGAAGCAATGAAGCCACCGACGACCCCAAAGGCTTCGGACAGCGAGACTCGTGGGTATAGGGCGCCCTCAGGCGAAAGGCAGAATAATCCTTCTACCCGATCCGAGGAGCTCGGCTTCAACGTGCAGGTGGGGAGGCCCCTCGCAGAGGTGCCGATGGCAACAGCCCGGGCAAGCCCTGCACATAGATCTGACCCCAGGCAACAGCCTCAGGACTCCCTAGAGATCCACTGGCGCCAGCCGAGCTGGAGCGGCT